CAGCATGAACGCATGACAGGAATGTGCCGTGGTTTGTAGTGTTGGACCTTTGATTTTGTTTTTTTTGGAATATAAACTCTGGTCTAATAATTAGAATTTTCAGTTTTTGATTATAGTTTAGAGTTCTTACTTTACTTTCAGTGTTTTTCTTTATTTTTGCAATCATAGTAGCCTAATGCATTTGTGCTTTAGTCATTTCATCATAGGTGATGATTTTATAGTAGTATAATCCTACTAATTTGATCTCTCTGACATACATGCATTATTAATGATTAACACCTGATTAGTGACTTCCTGTTCTGACATATTTGATAAATAAAGACTCAATAACTTTGATTACACACGTAACCTCACTCCAGACATTTTCTCTCTTTCAGTGTTCAATGTAAGTGCTTCCCATGATCATCAGACCTTCACGCTCCGTGATCTCAGTCCAGGCGACTATGAGGTGTGGATGAGAGCTATTACTGAATTTGGACATGAAGCAAATGCCACTGAAACATTCAAAATAAACCACCAGCAAGATATGTATGGTAGGTAGGATGGGTTTGACGTTATGTTTGAAGTTGTTGTTGATTTTTCTTTATTTTTCTTGCTGGATGTAACTAACTTAGGGTGTAATGGATTGTGCAGTGTTATAAGATATGAACTATTTATTATTTCTCTGATAATGATCGCTTCTCCCTCCTTTTTTAGGGTTATTGATACCAGTTCTGTCTGTAGTTGTGATCCTTTGTGTGTGTGTTGCTTGTAGTTTACTCAGGTGAGACAATCATCTTAAACTTATCTCTGACATCATATTTGAAGCACATCACATGTGTTAGGTACTGTTAACAAATACTTTTCTATTCTGAATAAATGTTGAATAACATGAGAAATGTAGTAAGAAATCACAGTATATCAAGGACACAAAACATTAAATTCAAACTCCCTCCAGTTTTGTCTTTATGAACATAGTTACTTATACCTTTTTATGAGGTGATCTCCCAGTCTAACATATTTGCTGTTTACTGTCTTGTCTCTGGCAGCGTTTGTCCAGGACCAATCAAAGCATGTCCACTGATATCTTCGTGCGCCTATGAGAAAGTGCCTGATCCCCGCAACAGTCACATCTTTAAACAGATGAAGCATCAGGTTAGACTGAATGAAACGTAACTGCGAGGTTTCTATAGACTCCTAAAAGTCTTAATTTCTTTTACTGTATTTGTTATAGTAAAAGCCTTAAGTTATGTAAAAAAACAACTTTAATAATGGTTTCAAAAATCCTTTAAAAGATACTTTCTGGTATTGTAAGTAATTAACAAAATGGCTCTTTATAGATCTGTATTACAGAAACAACAGCAGTCATTCTGTGATGTGAAAAAGAAAGTTGTCATTGGACTGTATGCAATCCCATGGAAAACTAAGTAGACATCATCATGCAGCAGCTTGTAGAGCCACGCTTAGCAACAACTTAAACTGATTGTTTCCTGTATGACTATCAGTATCTCACAGTCTTGTGGGGGAATTTTGACCCACACTTCTTTACAACGTTGCTTCAGTTGGTTGAAGTTTGTGGGATTTTTTTTTAAACGCAGATCTCTTAAGTTCCCACCAAAGCATTTCAATCAGGTTTAGCCACTGCAACATGCTGAGTCTTTCCTTTTTTAGCCATTCGGTTGCAGATTTGCTGCTCTGCTTAGAATCATTGCCCTGTTGCATGACCCAGTTTGGAGCATAATTTACTATACAGAGGAGCTCATGGTGTCCTGGTCTGGCTCCAAAACAATCCCAAGGCTACTAATGACAAAAAATAAGCTAAATCAAGACCAATACCAGTTGATGCATACAGGTTACTGATATATAAACTTGGCTCAATGATAATCAAGAACTTGTTTTTTGTTTTTTCTGTCTCTCTGTAGTTTAATGATCCTTTGGGCTGGATATGCATTCCCGTCTGTGAGCCACAGCCCAAGATCTCTGTGCTCGAAGTTGTAAAAATAAAGTCCCCAAATTTAAACCCTGATGGATTCGTAGGACCAGTGATAGGAGACAAGTTTTCACAAGATGATCAGAGGGAGGATGCTGTCCCAGAGGAGACGGCAAGGTTGGACCGCAGATATGGAAAAGAGCCCTACAGCAAAATGATTGATTCCGATGAGGAAACGAGGGGCAGCTCATCAGAGGAAGAACAGTTCACGTCTGGTTACGAGCAACACTTCATGCCCTCTCCTTTAGAAGTAAGTTTTATCAAAGCCTCACACCTGATCAGAGACATTATTCTCATTTTTTTCTTTCTTTGTTTTTATTTATTGACTTTATTTAAAAAGAGACAATATACAAATAGTAAAGTAATACTATTTTACCTCAGACATACAGCTAAGCACTGGTCCAGGTCAGTCAGCTCACTGAAATTATTTCTTTGCGTCATCGGACGTGCTCCCAACTCTGCCAGCAAGAGCTCAAACTGCCCCGCTGATAACCTGGAATATGTACGAAAGCAGCTGTGATACAGCTTCAAGTCCTGGATTGAACCAGGAAATTCTCTCTGCTGCTTCCTTCTCGTGAGAATTGGGTGGACCCAGGATCTCAGTTTCTTACTTTTCTAGTTTAGAAACATCCTGACCAGCTCATCATCGCTTGATGTCAACTTCATTTTTTTCACTATGTGCTTTTTGAGGGCAGAAGTTCAGATCACAAAAATTCAGAATTTTGTGTGCTTGGTTTGTAACGGCCTGTAGTCTAACTCTGTCATGATTTGCAGCTTTTGTATTAGTATATGACCATATCATGTTTAGTTTTTGTTTTTTATTCCACTATGATGTCGTAATTCTGCCAGTCTTATATACACTTTGCAACTAAAGGCTCCCTTATTTATTCAAATTCTTTTTTCTCTCTCTCTGTAGTTTAATGAGTCCTTGGACTTTATCTGCATTCCCGTCAGTGAGACACAGCCCAAGAACTCTGAGGGATTAACAGGGCCAGTGGCGGGAGATGAGTCCTCAGAGATGGAGAGTCCAGATGATCAGAGGGAGGGTGGAAGAGAGGTGTACAACAAAATGGATGATCCCTATGAGGAGACAGGAGATTTCTGTAGCTCATCAGAGGAAGAACAGTTTACATCCGGCTATGAGAAACACTTCATGCCCTCTCCTTTGGAAGTACTCTAACATTGGCTATATCGCCACACCTCATCTGGCACATTGTTTGTTTGTTTGTTTAATATACGATTGTTTAAGATGGGAAAGCTCTGGATAGCCTTTTTCTTGAGATGCCTGCAGAGCATTTGGGTCACTGGAAAGATTTGTCTGCTGAAGCTGATTTTATGTCTCTCTCTGTCACAGTTTTCAGCTTTTGCATTAGTTTGTTCCATCTAATCATATCATGTTTATTGTTTATTTTTTGGCTACTTTTTCTATTTCAGTTAAAGTCGACTCGCTCTGCGTCCCACATTTTGCCCAGCATTGAGCCTGACTATGACAACACCAACAGCAGTATTTTTAAGAGTCGAAACATTTGCAGGATGTGCAGTAGTTTGCAATTTATTTCGAATCTGCATATTAACCCTAATCAAAGTGCACAGAGTGACAAATTATACTGACGCCACCTGTTAAAACACTTTATGGTATTATAAAGTATCTCAGGAAACTCAATAAAAATAAAAGCTATCTGTACAATTATAAAACTGTGTTTTAAACAGATGTTTGTTGGTTTTTTCACATAAAGCGTCTTTAGGTAACACTGGATCTAATTTTATCATATCCATGACCTGTATGAAGTCACTGGAAATAGAGTCTGAATTTGTTGCTATTTACTCACACACATGCTCTGTAAATGCCATCCATCCACTCTATTCCAATCCAATCTGGGGTTGTGGGGTAAATGACAATCCTGAATTTGATTTTAAAATGATTTTGAGTGTGTTGGAAATATTAACATCCTTCTTAGTTTTTTACATTGTTGCACAATATACTTTATATTTTGATAAATAAAATGTCTGTCAAATACATGTACAGCCATCACATTTGATTTAAATGACTAATATTGACTGTTTAAGCAACACCATGCTGGACAAATATGGTGTAACACACAGTTTAGGTGTAATGATTAGAGATTACACTTAATAACAAAACCCAAAAGGCCATAATTGTAACACATGGTTAAGTTGGTTGTTATAGATAGATAGATCGATAGATCGATAGATAGATAGATCGATAGATCGATAGATAGATAGATAGATAGATAGATAGATAGATAGATAGATAGATAGATAGATAGATAGATAGAATAAAAGTATATTTTGGATTATGATTGCAGTTTTAAGATCAGAGTAGGGTGGAGAGGAGTGTCAGGGATGCTTTATGACAGAAGGATAGCAGCAAGAGCGAAAGAGAAGGTTTACAAGATGGCAGTAACCTGCTATCATGTATGGTTTGGAGATGGTAGCAACAACAAAAAGATAAGTGAAGATGGACAAGATTAGAGGGACAGCACTGGAGACAAAGTTAGAGGCACAAGGCTAAGATTTTTTGGACATGTACAGAGGAAGGATAGTGTTGAAGATGGATCTGCCAAAGAGGGTGACCACAGAAAAGATCTGTGAATGTAGTGACGGAGGAAATGCAGAGGGTTGGTGTGACAGGGGAGCTTGGAACACAGTGAGATAGTGGCAGATGTTCTGCTGTGCTGACGCCTAAAGGAAAGAAAAAAACGAACTTCTGTGCAATTAACTACATTTATTTCTACATTTAACTCCTAATTAATGTACAATCCATCTTTTAGGTAGTCTTTAATTCCATTTTTAGTTAGAAAAAAAAACTTGTATGCATACAACGTTTATTTAAAAAAATGCTTATTTGTTTGTTTAGTATTTAATTATAGTATTATATATTGTTATTGTATTTTTATAATAATGTATTTTTTTTTATTTATGTTTAACCAAATATGGATAGTAAAACTAGTTGCCTTCCAGTCCACGACAAATCTCGCGTAGTCGGTCAAATGTGTGACGGAAGCCGCCAAGGGTCAATTTCAATCGGCGTGCTCATTTGAACAAGAGGAACCGCTACGAAGAAGAAGAGAAGAGCGGCCCAGTACTGATTATTCAACTTTCAAGTTAATATTGTACGTACACTCCTAATAGGGTTGCACTTTAACAACGAATTCTTAATACCTCGATCACTCCTACTCATCGGGTAAGGCGTTTTACAAAATCAAAGCAAGTTTCAGTTAAATAGCATTAGCCTGGCTAGCAGTATTAGCATTAGCAGAGTGAGTCGAACTCCGATGCCTGACGATTTAGCGGCTAGCGCCTGCTTACAAAGCGTGTTCACCTACTTATTACCCAATACTGATTGACATCCTTATGTTTAACCGCTATGTTTAAAACGACCGCATGACTGTTATTGTTCGGCAAAATAATTGCTCAGCTCGGCCCTTTCTTTGGATAGCTAACGGCGGAATTTTCTTGTTTTCATGCCGACCACATTGTGAGCCTCCAGCCGGGAACTGCCCTGTCGACCAGGCCCTAGCAAGAAGGGCAGGTTGGGTATTAGTGGGGTCAGCTGTCCATAGCTCAAACAATCTACGAGCTAATCGATAATGGATCTTATAATTGGAGCAAACTAACCAGTAAAGCTAAATGTTGTAAAGGTAAACCACATGATTATGAGCCTGGAGCCGGACATGGCGATCGTTGCTTCGTTGCTAACTCGTTTCCTGACAACTTTTTTTTCCTCTTCACTCTGACCAGCCACAGCTGAGTGAGTGCGACCCTCTACCTCCCAAAACGGGCTAACCGCGCGGCTCGGGCCCACGTGTTACGGCATTGCGTTGAAATTAGAGCAAAAAAAAAATTATCGAAGCGCAACGCGGTTCCGCAACTCAGACCGGAGGACCGGGTGGGGTGGGGGTGGGGATGGGGGTAGGATTAACTTGGAGCAGTTAAGCCGGGTCACAGATTTTAGCTGGTCTTGTTGTCTGATGTCCTCGTTTTTGTGCCGCATGCTGCAATTAGGGTTTTAGGTGTTTGACGGGGGGTGACCAGTCCCGGTGCCGCCGGGTCGTTTCACCCTTTAACCCACTATGAAGGCGGCCAGAGAGCTCCCAACCGACACCTGCGCAGTTTTGTTTTAGAACTGATCTTTTCTCCTTCAGCTGTTTCGTGCATGCATGCATTAAGTAACTGCAGTAAACCCTCAGTGGGTTCCAATAACTTTGCATGTCATTAAACAGAAGTATCTTGTTTTAAGTAGTGATTGATTGGATAAAAGCCCAGCAGAAGACCATCTGATGAAATGTACAACGTGATTGGCATCCCGTGGTAGTTTCAGGTCCATTGCATTACTCCTGTGTGAAGATTTGTTCTTCTATGTACAGGCATCCTTCTTTTTTTGCCTATATCAACTATATACGTGCATGTGGACTGGAAATGATGCATTAAAAAACATCTGACCTGTTGCTGATGGTGTTTGTATTCATACTGTCTGATCCAGAGACCTCCCCTGCTTACGTGTTTCTTAATATTTTCCTTTGAATTTAAAGAGAAATGTGTGGACATGTGGATTAATTTGTGTGTTTGTGTGTGTGTGTGTGTGTGTGTGTGTGTGTGTGTATGTGTGTCTCAGGATGGAGTGGCAGCCAGATGAGCAGGGACTTCAGCAGGTCCTACAGCTGCTCAAAGACTCCCAGTCACCTAACACAGTCACACAGAGAGCTGTCCAACAAGTATCCTACTTCAGTCTGTTCTGAGTGTGCACAATAAAACTGGTTAATGGTATTTAACTAAATTTTGATCCTTTATTGCTTTTAATGTAGGATAACAATGAAAATATTTGAGGATTTTGTAGCAGCTGCGAGAGCAGAGGCGAGGTAGCAACTGTGACATGACACCTCAGTCATCTTTAAGGACTAAGTGCATCTCTACTGTCTGCTTTTCTTCACTTACAGTATATTTTTGACCAAAAATACATGATGGAATAAATGTCACATCACATCTATGCAATTAACATAAATGAGTAATCTATAAGAAGCCCTTTCAGTCTGAGCTTTACTTGGCTCAGACTGAAAGGGTGATTTGAAAGTGAAATGATCCTTAACTGCCACTTCAGAAACTCGAACAACTCAACCAGTTCCCTGACTTTAACAACTATCTCATCTTTGTCCTTACACGACTCAAAACTGAAGGTGAGTAGTCTTGCACGTGCGTCTTCTGTCTCTCAGATCATTGATCCATTATGGTGATAATTTAGTGCTTCCTGTTGCACGTAATAGCTGGATGCACTGAATGTTACTTATTGTGTTGGAGCCTCATTCCCAGCAGAGGCCTTGCATACATGTTTATACAGTGTGAGGGGGCAAAAAAATGAATTGTGTCACTTGTACTCTTCTCACAGACTGACAGCAGTGACGCATCAATTGCTTAATCAACGTAGCACTTAAACATATACCAATAAATGTAACAGGACAAGTATATAGAACCGTAAACCGTGCTGTCACCGTTGCTATGGATACAACATGTCTTAGTTTAGGGATATAGATTTGTTATATCTGGTAAAAATTTAGGAATTTGTTCATGCCTCTAGCAGAGCAGCCCTGAACTCTTCAAAGTTCAAATGAATCCTTATCGATTTTACATCGGGCTTTGCAGCAGCTCTGCATTCATCCCTTTCCCTTTAGAGTAAGTCTGCTCTCTTTGAGCGGACTTTCTTCTGATTGGCTGTCCCTCACAAATAGAAGGTCTGAATAATAATAGGTGAGTGGTGCTTCTGTGTTCAGAGTGTGTATAAATAATATTGTTCCTGGCATGAGCGAGTGCCAAGAGTAGGAAAAACCTCTGAGATCTGAGTGCTTAGAGCAGCCTGAAGCCTGTCTTTTGACCCACAGGGAATACCTTTAGATTGGCTGATCTAATGATTTGAAACTTGGAGCAGTTTGAATATGAATATCCACCTTTGCAAGAGTTTATATATGAAATAAACTGAGAAAAACTGTTGCGTCCACTTTGACTAAGAGTGATTGCTCTGAATTCTATAATGAAGGGCACACAGATTTTAAAGTAAGATGAAGAGTTGGATTACACGTCCTCAGGATTGAGTAGTGGAAAACTTTGTGCACTTTGATGTAGTATTGTAGTGATCAGACTCCAAATACACACTGATGGCTTGGCATCTTGGTCTCTAACTGCCCTCCTTTCTTCTTCTCAGATGAGCCGACTCGCTCTCTAAGTGGTCTGATACTGAAGAACAATGTCAAAGCCCACTACCAGAACTTCCCATCAGCCGTTGCTGACTTCATCAAGCAGGAATGCCTCAACAACATCGGCGATCCCTCGCCGCTCATCCGTGCCACCATTGGTGAGTTTATTGGTTGTGTTGGTTTTATAACTTTATATACCATCTATTTACACACAGAGTAACCAGTTTAATCCCCGTGTGTCCTTATGTTACTCTCTGGAAATGATGCATAAAATCCATCTGAGTGTCTGTGAAGGTGTTCGTATTCATACTGTCTGATCCAGAGCTTCTGCATAGGTCAAAGGTTGCGGTCTTTGTCAGTGGTGAACAACTGACCTGAACTGCGTTTTCTCCTGTAGGCATCCTGATCACAACTATTGCCTCCAAAGGAGAGCTGCAAACATGGCCCGAGCTGCTGCCTCAGCTCTGCAACTTGCTCAACTCAGAGGACTACAACACGTGCGAGGTCTGCACTTCCTGTTTGGCATTTGACTCATTTAGATAGTTGCTCTGGTTTAA